CGAAATCACGTAGATTCGTATACAAATGAGAGCACAAAAGCCGCTGGCAAGAAGATGTGAGAAGAAATGTTACTTTTGACGTTTGTGCCAGAGGTTTAGTTGCTGTTGCAGTGCCCTTTTCGCTTCTCGAGAAGAAGCCAAGGAGAAGGATAAGAAGCAGTTGGTAAAGAGTGGACTAGACTCTGTCATAAATTACGAATTGAGCAAGGTTGAAAAGAATTCAGGTAATCAGTCAACGTCGTTTTCTCGTAGTAATTCAAATTTATGTGACCAGATTGAGAACAAAATAATCTTTTTTGACTTTTCCTAATAGAACCCACTCTTTTCTATTTTTTGCCATATATTTATGCATCAATTTCATCCTTAGACGGTAATAACCACTCTATTGCTTGCCTCACTGTCGTTCATACTGTAGAAATCTGCCTGTACGCAAACTAATCCTAATCTACCTGAGATTTCAGGTTTGTTAGTGGACAACTTTGTTATTGGCGCTTTATCACAATTTTAAGCAACAATTTTTCAAAATATAATTTACGCTCAAGCCTCCTATCTATCTCTTTCATACACAGAGGCTGCTTAGCACTAAAACAAATAGACTGCGATAACATTTGGTAAACCATCAGAGGATAGACGAGAGAATTAGAATCGCATGGAAATCAAACAATATAGCAACTCAAAAACGTCAAAGTCAGTCTGAAAATTCAAACCATTTCATACAGTATTAAGGTGTCTGAATAAAGTGATAACTGTTTGGTCGTCAGTAACATCTCCAAATCTTTTTGCCTGCATTCATTAAAGGGGTCTGGCTTAAATCTAGATTTTTACTTATAAGCAGCGCTTTCACCTCTTCCATTACCCTAGGACTGCAACGTAACTGTGTAAGTTGCTTTACCCGGCATAGTGCACTATTGACATCTGGCCACGAATAGTTCTAAGAATGCTGGGAACATGTCCGGTGGGGTTATCTGACGCGCAAAGCCCGATTATGACGACTATTTGATATCTCAAAGTTTTTGCCGGAAATGGAAGTGCTCTGCGCCAGCTTTAGAGGCACATATAATTTTCGACTTATTATTACTAATACCATAATGAAGAGAGCTTAAACTGTTTATAGTTGAAAATCAAAGCTCAAGCTAGTGCTATAAATCAAATCATTATCATCTGAAAAAAAGTTGGCAGAATTAGATAGCGATCACATTTTTTGGGACATCTTCCATGTACTTAGTTCGTCTCTGTACATAAGAGCACTTATTCAGCTTGAGAAATTTCTCTTCAGCGGACATGAAGCTGTAAAGATAGGTTTTCATTTTTTAGAAATCTGCCACAGAACTGAGGGCACGGTTGCAACGTGTGTACACGAAATTCTCTCGGATATTTTGCTTTTCCACGCTAATAACCCCGCAGTTTGGCCACAATGGGAGGTTTGTAAACCGTCATTGTGGGTCATGAAGACAGCTGATAATCTATTCCAAAAAATCGATCTTGCCTATTTTAGTTTGGCAACCAGTATATCTCTCGTGTTGCGTCTCGGGTAGAAAGTCGAGCGCACGCTGAGCTCCTGCTGATGCTTCAGTTAATTCTACCCGGCACCAACAATTTCTACTATGGAGACGAGCTTGGAATGAAAAATTTGCCAAATGGCTCTTCGGTTGGTTCAAAATAGTTTTATTGGGGCAGAACTACTTCAATACAATAGTATGTCACAAGAGAAAAGATAAAATTTAATTTTGCATGAAAAAAGTTTTGGCTTTTTTTTGCTAGATAAAGGCTGCAGTGAAGTTGAAGTAAAAAATTAACATAAGCAATATTTTCAGAAGAAATAGAGTTTATTGGGATATCACTGTACTTCTCTAACTCTCAAAGGCAGAATGTTTATGCGTCACAACTCCTCTAATCAGCATTTCATGTGCCTTTCTTTTCTTTACGCATATTATAGTTTATACCCAACAAAATGCAAGTTTTCAAAAGTACAGTAACTTCAACTCAAAACCAACGTACTTAACAAAAAGAATAAATCTATCATCTAGAAAATGAATTGTTGGAGAAGGCAAAGAAAAGATGCATGCGAAAAAGAAAAAGCAGAAACCAAGAAAGGAGTGACTAGTTTTTTTT